CTATTTTTTATACCCCTAAGTGATATGGGTGCTGCCATAAACCCCTATCTTTTAATAGCTATATTAGTAATTCAATAAATTTAAAACAAAATTTTGAAAAAATCTCAAGAAGGCAAACCGCCCACTCAAGATGAAAAAAAACCCTAGGAATAATTTATATGGCAATACAACGTTTGCCGGGTCAGCTAGTTTTGTATAAAAATGCTGCTTTGCGCAAGTTGGGTTGCGAGGAATCATCATCTGAGTCATATTTGTATACAAAACCTATTCTAATATATTACTTAATTGCCATTGGGTTTATTTTTATTATTATGATTCTTATCGGCAATAAAACTCATTTCACTGGATTTTATCCGCCATCAAACGTTTTATTGAAAATAAACTAGATCCCCTTTTCAGTTATTTATTTGTATCCATGCTAAAATAAAAGCGCTTAGGATTCCTGTATAACTGCGGATCTCTTTCAAACAGATACACATTCTCTTGCGCTTCATTAAACTCTGAAATCCAATGGTACCCTTTAAGTGTAAGAAAAATAATTATCTTCTAAATAGACTGCAAATCTCTGAAGCCACACTAGTCAGTTCAATTAATTACAAAGCCGCAAAAACAGCATTTAATTGACAAACGGCAATAACAAGAATACAAAAAATATTTATTCAACTTCTTCGACTTACCATGTATCGCTCTTTCCACTCTTTCTTTGTCCTCCACAATGTACAGGGCATTGAGAAGGAAGAACAAGCTTCCAAGTATTTCGACGAAACACGTCGTGAATAAGGCGTATTGGAGGGATTTGAACTCGTTTACCGCAGCCTCTGAAGCTGACGGGCTAATGGTTGTTACCGTGGAATTGGTAAGTTCGGTTGTGGTAGCTGTGGAGTCGGAATCTCCGTTGAGCATAATCAGAAAGGCCTCGGATAGCTGAAATAGTAATAAATTATTAATAAAATGCTGCTTTTTGAGTGTGCATCATACTCACAACTCCCACTAGATACGGGCTGCCAGCATCCCCTAATGCATGAGACAGGAGTAACTGAAATCCTTCGGCTGTTGATCTTCGTATGGGCATTATGACGTACTAAAGTTGAAAAGTTGGTTAAACTGCGGGTAGTTGCAGTTGCTTTAGAAAAATCGAACTTACTAGCAAGATATCGGCAACAATAGACCAAGTAAGGTTGAGAAACAGTTCCCCGAAGAACACCATGGTGAAGCAAAGCGTCGTGGAAAATTTAGCGGCAAAAATTGCCAAAAATATAAATGGACACGACGCAAGCAATCCGATGCCACAGATGTAGGCATCTATTCTTCTGATCCGCGGCCTCAGATGCTGAGCGAGCATCGAACCTGCTGGAACCCCCACCAAGCCCGATATCATGGCGACGATTCCAAATCGGAAAGCGATCCTGAAACAAGTTGACGCGTTTATCAGCAAATGTTTGCATAAAGTAGTATTTACACTCACGTATCATCCCCATCGCCGTTTCCTTGAAGAGCCACACCTTTTTCGATAAATTTGGGACCCCACCAGGCTAATGCACCGGCAACGAAGGCCACACAAGTAAAACCAGCTGTGGATAACATGAAACTTTTGCTGAAACAGAAAAAAATCAGTTAATAATTATTTAAACCCTTCAGCAGGAAAAAATCCGGCTTTTGGTAGCTATGCATATACAGAGTGATCCAGGCTGTTACCTACCATTTAATAATCTCATTCACATCTTGAATCCAAGACGATGCCTCCATATGCCCGCTTCCTTCACTCGCGCCTCTCTCTGGCTCTTGCAGAAAAACTATGATGACGAATACGGCCAATAAGCCCAAACCCGGAGTCACTCGAAGTGCCCAATGCCATGATCCGAATAATTTCGCTGTTTCTGCACCAACTATGTATCCTAGACCACTAAAAAAATCATTATAAATAAATTATGGCTAGAAAACAAAGTGAAAATATATTAACAATAGGAAAAAAGTTCCAGTAACAAAATAAAGCCGTAAGCTAAGTGCGACTTGGCTGGATAACACGCAGCGGAAAACATCAAAGAACACTCATTAATTCTGCCCATCAAATAGTTGGAAGTTGAAGAGATCGCTGAATCCCGCACGATTAATCCAGAATGATTTGAAATTTTCAAAGTAAATTAGATGCAGGTTTAGGATGTTTACGACTGAATGAAAAAACAGGAAACTTGTTCAGAAACGTTTAGGTGTGATTTAAGGCTGAGCCGATTTATCAGCGCCAACAAACAACGAAGGAAAATAAGTTCAACAAATGATTTAGCGCCGATTGTAACCGTAAATAAGCCGGAAACGATTTGGAAGTTTATTTGTGTCAATGGAGAACTTTGTGTTAGTGAGTGCAAGACACGAAAATCGGACGGGTTTTATTGGTGAAAGTAAAATACAATAAGTTTATTAGCTGTAACGCTTAAACATGCCTAAATATACCAGGAAATGAAATCGAAATCATTTTTATTGGGCCACTGGGCTTTATATAAAACTTTATACTATAGCAGGTGTGCAAAAAAAATATTAAAAATGTGTTCAAATTTCAAAAATGTTCACTCTCCTTTAGAGGGAGGCACAGCCGAAACCTCAATTGAAACAGCAAAGTTTAACAAACTTTCCAAGGTTGAAACAGGGAAAAATTAGGGCAAATCGAGCTTCAAAAACCATAACCGAAGATAGTTCTCGCAATGAATAACTTACCTTCCAACTGGAATAGCGAAATAAAATAGAGCCAACATTTTCGAACGAATGTTTCCTACAAACAAGTCGCTAAGAATTGTTGGAGCTATGGTGGAATAACTGGCCTCTCCTATGCCCACCATTGCTCTGAACAGTAGAAACCACCAGTAGTTCTGAAAAAAATAAAAAAATCAACTTCAAGCCATAAAATGTAGAAAATGGTGTCATTTTGACCTTTTTTGAGGAGTTTTCCTAATTACTGAATAACAATGGATACTCACGGTCATGAAAGACCCACATAAAGTTGTTAAGCTCCACAATGCCACTCCAAAAGCCATCAACCATCTTCTGCTATATCGATCGCCCAAATATCCAAAGAGCGGCCCAAAAGCCATGTAGAAAACGATGAAAGCTGTTTGCAGAAGTCCGCCCTTATCATTGTTTACCTTCAGGTCTGTTTGAATGTTCTCCAACACACCTGCAAAGAAAATTGAAAAATTCCTCTTCAATCAGCCACCGTTTCTAGTTGAGTAAAATACAGCTAATCTAAGTTCTTTTATGGGCAGCAAGTGTGAAGAACAATTTAACAAATTGGGCGATGCACAGAGAAGGAACACTTAATTAGGTGAAGTGCCTGTTATTTTAATCCCATTGACTTCACCAAGTAATTTATTTAGATAAATTACAGCTCCGTAAAACTGCGGACCAAATAAACAATGTTACATTAGATAAATTACCATAATAAAGCCTCTGCTCGGGGGCTCATGTTTTCGGCCATAATAAAATTAAAAAAATGTTGATGAGAAAACATTTTTGGGATGAAAAACGCCCATTTCCCGGCTTACGGCTTCGAACACGAAAAAAGCTGTTCCCTTAATAAGAAAACAAGACATTTATTAAAGTAAAATCCGTATTACCTACTTTTATGCGAAGGGTAAAATATGAAAATGTGGAGACTCCGCGTGGAAACGGGCAAAAGGGACAAGTTTTGTAAATTGAGGCTGTTTTTTTCAAGGATATTTGCATACAAAGGTTTATAGCGTTTTGATTTGTGAGCGCAACTTTAGGGTCTATTTGATAATTACCTTTCTTTAAAGACTTCTTGCTTTAATAGAGCTGAAGACAAGGTAAGCACGCAGGAAACGCAAACAAATGCTTGCTTACCTTTCTTTAATAGTTGTAAAGTTTTAAAAATCTGGAAAAAATTAGCCTCTAGTACGCGAAACCCAAAAGTTATTGTCATTTCAAATGTAAGAGGTATTTCAGTGTGTTTTCCACACAATCGAATACCTGGAATACCATTCGACCTTAAAAGCCGGCAATTTATCGCCCATATGGAAAACTTAAAAGAAAATATCTTTCAGTAGACAGATATTGCGACCAAAGCAGTTTGCTTGCTTCATTTTCGTTAAACCACTGAAACCGATCAAAGTTTAATCTTTCATTCAAAAAGTCATCACCATGATCGGTTAAATTTTCAAAATACTAGAAAAATTGACTATTAAATAAATAAAACCGACTTGAAAACGTGGTTCTCTAAAAATCTGTTAGAGGACAAAGCTTCAATTGGCTTTCGAAAATAGTTTATATCCCTTTTGTACCTGCCGGGTAATATATCAGATTTATTGGCACTTCCGCAAGAGCAATAGCAGACAACTGCAGGCCCTCAATCATGAATTCTTAATCCTGCATCCTCCTAATATCGTCGTGTGATGATTATGGTACACGCGCCTGCAATTTCATCCTGATTTAATATGCTCAGTGGCGTTGTTTATGGCCAATAAGTTCCATCCACATTTCCATCTAGTCAAAGTTTCATAACTTCAATCCCGTGTACACCCATGATTTGCTTGAACCATCCAGTATTGATATTCACATAAATCACCAATCAATTGAAAGTATTTTTATCCGTGTTTATTTCTGTTATTTGCTCTTGCGGACTGTATTAAATGCGAATAAATTTCTTAATTTGAGAGTGTTATCGTCTTTATAACATCGTCAAAAAACACAGCAAGAAGAGAAAAAGTTCTATGAAATATTTGATTAAAAAACACAACTCGACGATTTACATCCAAAATCGGATTCTGCAGATTGGAGTTTTTAGGGTTTAGATTCACTAGAACAATTTTGTAGAATTTCCCCATTGCCTCAACTGTTATATTCACCAAAACTACATCTATACAGATATCTAAGATAAGAAGATTTTTATACGTAAATAACGCAAATATTCATTTGCATTCGTTCCGCCCGTCCGATGCAAACAAATACGTGCTTACCTTATAGTGTATCTTTATTCGAAAAGCATATAATTTAACACAATTTTTTTCACATTTTCCCCCGAGCAAAATTCAACCCAACTTCATTATAACAACTTCCGGCCATTGGAATCGAAAGAGGCCCGGCTTGTAACACCCACTCAATTGGAGGGCAGAAACCAAATTGGCACAGACTATTCACTTTTTTTATTGTTTCCCTTTCGGATATTGCCATCAGGGGAAATTTAGCGGCAAATTGGATGCTGTTGGAAAATAGATCATATTACCGAAAAAATTGGCGCTATCCAATAAACAAAGTGCTGGAATGAACTGAAAGTAGCGGGGAAAATTAGGGCATTGAAACGGCACTCGATTTGGAAGGTTTTTTGCAGCTCGCAAATTTCCACTGAACAAATCATTTATTATTCATTTGAAATTCCTTGAACCACCATAACAGTTTATAGCTACGTAGGATTCGTTTTGCTTTCTAATGAAAGGCTTTTTTAATTTATTACAAGTCAAACCATTTGATAATACTTCTAGTAAACCAGTAGTAAAACCTTGATGAAACTGAAGTATATATAAATAAACTGTCTCCGATGAGCCAAAAATACCATCACAATGTTATATTATTTTAAATTGAAAAGCATTTGCGTTCATTAACGCACTTATCAGCCAACTTCACACTTTCATTTAATAAACTCAATCAATTTAAAATTGCTGGGGTGATAACTAGATTTAATATAAAACCATAAACAGATGTTTCATTCATTTCCTTCTAAGTAGCACTTCAGTGATAAATGTTTGTCTATTTAAGTTTGCCACGTTTACGAACAATCGGCAGTGATAATTTGAGAATTTTCCTGGCAAATTTCTCCAGAATATCAAAGGTTCCAAGTGCCTTAATTAGAAAGCAATTACAAGTTCGTTGTACTCGAGTAACAAAAACCAAATTTCAATTTATCTTTGATTGCTTTCCATGTTTGTTTGAGGAGTTTCCACTGAAGTGGCTTTAGAGCAACGGAGGCCGTTAAGTCTGCAATTCACAGCGATGCACATTTTGAACCTCTTAAGCCGTCATCAATAGAAATAAAAGGCGCTAAAGGAAAAACAACAAAAGCATTCAAAAACCGCAGAGAGTTTTTGAAACGGTAACACGTGCATTTAGATGTGCCCGATTATAATGGGCGCAAACACATTGTAAAAGCAGATGTTTGTTCTGAGAGCACTCGAAGCTGAAAGCACTTTTCCTGCGATTTGTTTATAACCGCTTTCTTTCAGGATTTTTTCTCAGTTTTATATTCCCAACCACGAATTGGTTGAAACAGCTTAGAGCGTGTTTTTTCGTCAAATTAAGCCCGGCTGTTTTAAGCAATTAACTTTTTTTTCGCTTGATTAATTGAGCTTAAAGTTAAACCATTATCAGTGTATTTTGCAGACAAAACCGGTTAATTTTTCGCGCTGCAACCACCTTTAAAGATGCAAGAAAATTATATAAAAAAACAAAATTTTCACACTGGCTTATAAGCCCGAAAAAATCACCATTGCTAACCAATGACTGCGGAAGCCTTTTCTAAATTTTTGGATAAAAAAACCCACGATTAAATTCTTTTTTTAAACGCTTTTCCCTGAAACGTTATATAGGGGAAACTTGATATTGTCAGTGCATCAGCAGAGTTTAATAACCACATAAAAAGAGTAAATCTGAACAATTCGTTTTTATCGGTCGTCTACGTGTAGCCTGCTTAATAACAAATTTTTGTGTGTTAAAAGTCAAAAAAAAGCGCTAAAAATACCAATTTACGGAAATTAGTTTGATTAAATTTGCAAATAAGTCGTTGAATTTTCTGTAGTTTTTGATGTTGCAGGCGTACCTTCTTGCATTCCCGAATACATTTCCCTTCTGCTAGATAAACATCAGGCTAAAACAACTTAGGGAATTGGTTTAGAGAAACGTTTTTCCGGGAACAGACAATATGGAGCTCGCTGAAAGCATCTAATAATTATACGGCGAGGGCTGAAATCTTGAATATGGATTTTGACCCTTTTTACACATGGGTAGATCTGGTTTTCTTGCATTTTTACTGATCCAAAATTAATTTCCCGCTTTTATTTTTATTTATACAAGGCAATTTCCAAAGTTTATTTAAGAACTGACTTCCATATATCAACGAATCAAATCGTGTTTGCTAACATATTGAAAACCGCGACTGAAATCCACTCTTGCTTTCAATGATAAATTTTAAATAACTCCCATAATCACATGTTTTTGCCCGTTCAGATGTAAACCGCCTGAAGAGGTAAACAGCAAATCATCATCCAATTACCCGCGAACATTATACCCAAACATCAAGCCCATAATATTGAAAAAACAACGCAAAACAAAGCCTGATTTATTTTACGCACACAGTACTTAAGTTAGACTGTTGAAAGGTGCATGTCTTCTGGTCGGGATTTACCCAGATGGCTTGCCAATCTGTGCCATTGAAATATGTGTGCTGAAGAAAATGTAAACAGATTAATATTTGCACGATGGATGAAGATTAATGCCCAAAGTCGTTGGTAATTTTGTTCTGCATTGAACTCGGAAAAGACTCAAGATTGAAACTTGATGAAGAGTTTCGATGAGCGGAAATATGGACTGGAGGAAAACCTGGAAGAAACCCAAATATTTGCCACCTTCTTTCTTCTTCAGTACGTTAATCTTTAACAGTAATTGCATAGGTTTTCAACAAAATACGGTTTGCCTGCATGTGACATACCAATTTGGAGTGTCCAACCAGTTTACGTTTTAATTAAATTGCTTTCAGAGAAAGAGCGTTATTAGGGAGGGTTACATTGATCGTGTAGCAGGACGATTGATGTCAAAAACACACTTTTTCTCTTCAGTATTTGCTTATTAATATAAAGGGAAATGCAAGCGGTGAAAGGAAAAGAGGCAGGAAATCAATGTGTTTTTCACTTTTTCAAGACATTTTGTAGACTGTGAAATTTAATTTGTCGATGTTCGGTTGGTGAAATCCAAATTTTCGGTAAAAACCCAACAGTTAAAGTGTTTTCCAGTTGGTTAAACCCACAAACTTAGAAGAGAGAAAACGCATTTTTACATAACAGCTTGTGTATATTTATGTATTTTTTCATAATATCCTTAATAATGCGACTTTCACTGCAACTGCGTATTCTTTTAATTTATTTTTCCACTTGCGAGTGTTTGACGACAAAA